TACCATCTGTTTATTCTGTACGAGATAAGGGGGTACTTTATCACACTCGTTCTCTGGTCTGTGTGACTGGTTTACTATATAAACTTGAATCTGTTTCTTGTGCCTAATATGATGTCATTTAGAGGCTTGTATCTAATGACCTTCCTGTGCCTGTGAAATTTGAGCTCAATCTCATGAGTAGTTAATTGAATCGAGTCAGCAAGTGCTTGGTCGAGGAAAATTGACAATCCATGGGGACTGTTTCTGGGGAATCTTTGGGTATTGGAGACTCTGAATTTCTGGTATAATCGAATATTACCACTTCTATTTCTGTGAGGTGTTCAGGCCCAGTAAGGGATATGTTTGGTGGACGGAATTTGGTATAAAGTGGGGTCTACGGTTATGTTTGTTTCTTCAAACGTTGACGGAGAGTCAACGAGTTGGGATCAAGTACTGCAACGGGAATTTGGCTCTGAGAGCCACCTGTATCCTTTCTACTGGAGGTGTTTGTTCATTTCCTTATTTGAAATGTATATTTGACTGGTTAAAAGTGAAGTTCTGTGATTTTGATTGCTTGTACTTGTGGTACCTCATTGAGCGTAAGCTCACCCCGTTCCGTTATCTTTGTTTTCCTTACCGGGTTCAATGTTTTGATACCGTGATTTTTGGGAGAAAAGAGTTGAGCTAGTGATAGACATTCTTTTGTTTACGCTCCTCTGTAACCAAAACGTTAATTGTATTTTGTATAACTATGGATGCTATGGTTTGTACTTCAAGTTAATTCGTGGAAGACTTCGATGTATTTATATATAAGTGTTTAATCATGTGTTTCAATAGTACTCGTTTGAGATGGATGTTTTTATGGTTATGTGAACATTTCTTGTATTCGTTGTGAATTGGGTGAGTGCGGAGCTCGAACAAGGAAAGAAAAAAATTTTGGCGGGAAAATACTGCAAACAATCCGGCTATATATCCGGCCAGATCTTGGCTGGATACTTGGCCGGATTGGTAGGGGAGATTGACAATTTTGATTTTTGCTCACAGCCTGGAATTCGGTTAGGAATTCGGCCCTTCAATCCGGCCAACTTTTGGCCGGATTCTGACGTGACGTTTGTTCTTTGCATTTTTCGTTGGAGCGTTTAATCAAAATCCTATTGCACCGTATGGTTTGGTAATCATGTTTTCGGCTTAGTAGTCTCTGATTGTTTGTTTTCTTGTGGTTCTATCGTGCGTTATGTAGGGCTTGTGTGATTTGAATCCGTAGTTCTGGCGAGAGTTGGGCAGACAGTCCGCTAACTCTTGGGGTACGCTCCAGGGGAAGGTGGGGCTATCACATAGGGATTGCTAATCCAAGAATGTAATTTACAACTATTGAAGAACACTATTTTCAACTCTTTTAGGAGAAAGTATGGTTTGAGACATTTTAATATCTCCTCTTCAACTTGAAATCCATCTTCATGAGTATCACACCAGCGAAACTCTTATTTGTCAATGTATCTTTTGTTGCTAAATATAGGTTGCATGGCCTCATCCGCATTCACCACATTTTGCAGACTTGATATGTAGAATGAACCACTAAGGTAAACTAGAAATTCCAACTCTCCTATATAGCAACCATCATCCTATCCAACTAGGAATCCGCTCAAAGTTTGTAAGGTAGTTAGGCATCCCAAACCTACAAGCATACGCGTGAATTGCTGAAGGACGTCAAGATCAAGATGGCACAAACTAGCCTAATGCCTTGTGTTTTAGGGTAATTGACAAAGTTCCATGCAACCCTTTAATTTTAGGGTTTCCGACAAATGAAGGGAATCAATTTGCTTAATGACTTTATAGGAGTCTCTAAAACAATAACACAGAGATTCGATATGTCCAATTGAACAACGTAGATGAGTTATATTTAGTTGATGCAAGTGCAAGGTTCTCAAATGCTTGAGATGGCAGAAGAGGTTGGAACGTAAATAAATAGGAGTACGAGCATGGTACTGAGAATGTAACATGTGAGAATGCAATATGAAAGTAGTCAAAACTGTGGAACTTTTCAAAACCTCTGAAGTAACTAATTCAAAATCCTCATGCATGGGAGATTGATATAGATGTTTGATGTTCTTCTTCTCCACATGGTACTACTCTCGAGTTCATTCATCACCAAGTAATATTCTACCACTAGGGGCTTTTCTGCCACTAGCCCCACCTCACACAGGCAGTTGACAACCATATTCTTATTTAGGCTATACCTTCTCAAACTATGGCAATCAATTGTGCACGGTAGTATTAAATCAACCACCACATGGAATAAAAAACAGCCCTTGATCATTTCTCCATCTAAGGCTCAAAAATTCCTTGAGAAACCCACAATAGAATTATTCCATCCTTGTCGAATCTACAATTAGCCCGACCCAAAGAACAAAACAAAGTGTAACATTAAAAGGAATATTTGAGGCTTTTTCTCGAATGCAAGGCTACCACTTTAGATGCTAATCCACCTAAGCTTTCATCTATTTTCTATGATTCACTTATCTTCCTCCTGCTCTCATGATTTTCAAACATATTAGTTGTTTGCTATACCTAGAATCGCATTTACCAAGTTCCACAGAAAGGAAAAGGAATCAGTTGTCATAGCTTTAAAAATTCCCATTTCTCCGCCTAATTTATCTTGCACCCTTGATGAATTTATTTATTTATTTATTTTTGGTTAAGTTCCACTTGGAGTGCAATTTGTTTCGTTACTGTCCAGGAAAAAAATTTCTTGTTCCAATGTTGTAAACTAAAAGTTGTTAGGAAGATTGATGTAGCGATAGAAGATTTGCAACTAGATCTCTCCTCACAACTAGATCTGGTTGTGAGGGAGGAGAGGGGTAGGCAAGAGAGGGAGGGAAGATGGGGAAGAAGGTGAAAGAAGGAGGAAGGGGAAAGAGAAAGTGGATAAGGAAGAGGAGAGAGAAAAGAAGAGAGTTACGGCGGGTGGTAGAGGAGGAAGAAGAAAGAAGATGGAGGTGTAGTAGTGGTGACTGTGTGGCAGTGGAGGAAGAAGAAGGAAATGAAAGAAAAGGAAAAAAGAAAAGGAAAGGAAAATAAAAGAAAAAGAAAAAAATGATGGAGTTAGAAAGGAAGAAAAAGAAAAGAAATTTTTTTTTTTGAATAAAAAGAGGGAAAAGGTAAGAAAAATAAAGTATAAACTAAATTATAATATTGTTAGTAAAAATGTATGACTAGTTATATGTGAGGTCAGAAATCACATTTCCACTTTAATTAAAACCTAGTTATGTAAGGGATTTTCAAAGAATAAAGGGACTTTGTGTCTTTAAACGATACCGTAAGGGGGTGCTGTGTATTTTACCCTATGATTAACCTTAAAGAAAAAGGAGAAATGAAGAAGTTTTTTAGATTTTTTTCCTTCAATTTGTCATTCTTAGTATTGAGCAAATTATTATTTTTTTTTTGAAAATTTGGTTTTCATTTTGGCTAACTTAAATGGTTAATAAATTGTATTCTAGTCAAACTGTAAGATCTCTTTCATAGGTTTTTTTAAAATTTTAAATTCAAGACCTCTTATTTATAATATTTCCCATCTTACCACCTAATCCTAAGGATGGCAATGGGCACGACCACCCGTCCCACGGGGGGCTAATGGGGCGGGGGTTGCGGCGGGGGCAAGGGGAATTCCCCTCCTCTCAACTTAGAAATGGGGCCGAGGGGTGGGGAAGTGTACCCCCACCCTGCCACCTACTTTAAAAAAATAAATATAATATATATATATGTATGTATATAATTATAATAATATATAATTTAATTAGTTACAAACTTATGATAATGATATTATTAGTTATATGTATTATATAATAGATATTAGTATATGTAATATAATTGATATTATCAATTATACTAATAATTATATATATATATACTAATACAAATTATTAATTGGTTATACTAAATTTACTAATGCATTTATACTAAATCCCTAATTACACTTAATATAATAACATTTTTTTCTCAAAAAAAAAAAAACACAAGCACAATAATGAATTAGCGATTCTATTTGTGCCAAAAGTGAAAACTTGACTACTTTAGTTGTATTTATTTCATCATGTTGGATTGTATTCAAATAACTTTTGTTTGATTGTTTTTATAAGTTTTAATTGTGAAATTATAATGAATAATAATTTGATGATGTGGTGATATTTTAATACTTGATTTTTTACTAAAATTTAATTATAATAAAATTATATAACAAATTTTTATTAGCCCCACGTGGGCACCTGCGGAGGAAGCGGGGCGGGAGGAGCAGGGGACGGGAGATGGGGCGGGGGACGGGGGAGGGGTCCCCGGCCCCAACCCCGCCCCGTTACCCTCCTTACCTAATCCGACCCTCTTCCAATCTCTTTTGTAGTTTTGACAAATCTCAGTGGAGATTTTTTTTAGTAGAAGGCGTTTTTGTCATTTCATTACTTCTGCTAGTTGGGTTTCATTGCTATCACTCATATAGATAAATTTAATTTGATCAAATCACATGGTTGATTTAGTAATTTGATCCAATTTCAAGGAAAAAGTGTTAATCAATTGAGATTTTGTTTGTTTTTGTTTTAGTAGAAGACATTTTTGTCATTTCATTGCCTCTGCCAGTTGGTTTGCAATCCCAACACTCACAGAAGGTAAATTTACTTTAATCAACTCACATGATTCATAATTATTTGTCGGGGTGGTGGGAGGGAGACTGTTATTAGTCCACAAAGAAAGATAGAAGATTTTATATTTGGATATCAAATTTTTTCAAAATAATATTTCTTTTGTATTATAAACACATTTTTCAATCCACCTTTTTATATTTTCAATAATTTTTTTTATCTTACATACATCATATCACAAAAAATATAATAATAATTATTTTAAATAATATTTCAAATAATGCTTTATCCAAATAATTAATTAATAAGTGGACCAAGACCAGAAAATGAAGTCTACACCTTAAAAGGAGTCTTTTAAGGAGCAACACAGACCTAGCAGTCTTTGCCAGAGCCATGGAAGATGCACTTAGATCTGGCTTTTCATCAACGGGCTTTCAAGTTCTATTCAAAAAAATATGTAACCTTGCTGCTGAAGAAATAAAGCTGATTTTAGGGGTTAATGATGGGTTCAGAAAATTTCAAAGAATTCTCCTGAGAATGCAAGCCTTGCTTGATTATGTGGATGATGGTCGCGTGATATTCCCCAACAAGAAATGCAAAGAGGCTTGGAAGATGTGGCTTGTAGATCTCAACATACTTTGCTATGATGCAGAGGATATAGTTGATAAGCTTTCTTTCCAACTTCCCAACTTCAATGGTATTTGACCAAATAAGTCCAGAGCAGGTACGTGAGCTCTTCAAGTCACCACTGAATATCATAAAGGTGCCAAATGATATCGATGCCATGAATGCAAATTAGGAAAAATAGAGGTCGAAATGAATAACCTCTTCATAGATGAAATGGATAGTAAGTTTGGGGGCTTTAATGTACTCCAAAGGACTAATTACACTGGTCACACAAGCATCATCCATTCCAGTTCATTAGTAGATAAACTCTGAGGCCCCGCAAATTAGGTTCTGTAAGGCCCGAAAACAACCCTTTTCTAGGCGACCACATAATGGAGCAGTTGATAAGAAAGCACAAGTGCTTGTGAGTAGAAGAGATAAATAATTTAAAGATCATAAACGTAAGAATATAAGTAAATAAAAAGGAAAGAATTGCAAACCAATTAACTACCCAACTCCTCTTGAGCTTGTAGATTGATTCAAACAAGCTATTTCAAGTTGATGAATTACAATCACTCTTGTGTACAAAGGAAGGATCACTTCCTCCTCGCCCCAAGCCGCACTTGGTCAAGCAAGAAAGTTTTACTATCACTCGGATAACCCTCACAGAGCTACACTCATGAAGTATTCACTCACAAATGAAAAGCTTACAATGAACCTTACACCACTAAGACTACAAATCTTCTTTGAAGAGTATTTTCTCACTAAAATCTCTCTAGATTTTTGTATCTTCAGTGTGCCAAAGTTATTTGAAATATCTGACCAACCACTATTTATATAGAGCCAAGAAAGTGCCTCATAAATGCTTCCAATGGATAGAAAGTAGCTGAACAGTCAACTATCTGTTGGCAGTGTCGGACGTCCGATAGCCCTGTTTTATGCGTCCGACAGCAGGCAGAGAGTTTAAGAGATTTTCTTCAATTCTTTCGGACGTCCGGTAGGCTGGTTTTCTACGTCCGAAGGTATGATGTAAAACTGGAAATTTTTCTTCAATTCCTTAGGACGTACGGTAGGCTGGTTTTCTGCGTCCGAAGATACTCAATGGTTGTCGGACGTCCGATGCAGTCTTTTTGAGCGTCCGACAGTTTTCAGCAACCTTTGTCTTCTTTCAATTGCACTTGTTCATGGAATCAAATAATTTCATAACTAAAAGTATATCTTGAAGAGATATTAGTATCATCCATTTGTTTTATAAACATCAAAAGATAGGGATCAAGATCAACAGGTTCTTATCTTTTATCTTATTTTTCTTCCTTGCCTTAAATTTGTAGTTGCTCTGATGATTGAGGTGTGTTCTTAACCCCATTACTTTATTTACCTTGATATTTAATTTGATACATGTTAAATTTTATAGTGCATGATACTAGTGTGATCGACTAATGAGGTGTGTGCGATAAATTTGGAGAATTGGAGGGAGTTTTGCGTAAAAGGAATTATATGACAAGAAATGTCAAGAGTTAATTAGAGGGGCATTAGATATGTTACTGATTAGAGACAAATAGAGAGGCAAAAAGATAGATAATACATCTTTCCTTGACATTTGTCAATTAGCCAACCAAGCTTGATCAACCAAGTTTGACCAAGACCATGCTTTTTTCTTCTTATCTTAACCAAACCTTTTTGTTTTCATCATTTTCTTCTTCTTGAACACATCATGGATGAAATTTTGAGAGAGGAAAGGGAAAGAAAACACAAAACAAATTCAGCCTTAATCTCTTGCTTAAATCATGAAAAATCCAACGAAAATCCTAATCTACTTCGATCAATCTTGAGGTAAGATTGGAGAGAAACTTTTGGTGAAGTTTTAGAAGAAGAAAATCTTTCATCCCTCTTGATTTGCTTGTCATCTTTGGGTTTGGAGGTAAAGAGTTGAATTTGGCTAGAAACCATAGTTTTCTTTTCTTATCTTTGATTTTATTTGAGATTTGATGTTATAGAAGCTAAAGAAAGCATGTTTGTGGGAATTTCATAGCTTTGCTAGGGTTTATATGTATATGTTATTATGATGGGTTTCTTGTTGAAATTTTTGGCTTATATGTATTTATTGTTATGTTGGTGATGAAATCTTATGGATTTATTAGGTAGGTTTGGTTGACAAATTAGGAAATTAATTGGAGGAATGTTTGAAAATTCATTGGAGAAAATTCTGCTTGTTGGCAGAAATTTAGGGCTGAAATTGCAGCCTTGATTTCTAAATTTTTATGATGATTTTAAGCTCAATTTTGCTCAAAATACTCTATAATATGTTAAGCTATAAGTATGTGTTAGATTTGAACAAAAATCATGAGTTTTAAGTGGTAAGAACACCATTTTTTTCACTGTTTTCATGGCTGGAATTCTGCTCAAAACTGACCGAGAGAGAGTGACTTTATATAGTTTTGTTCTTGGTTTTGTGTGATGAACTTGGCATATTACTGCCCTAAACACATAATTAGACAGTTACCCTAGTATGAGTAGTGAATTGGTTATAATTTTGTGTAGAAAAGTCAGAATTACGTTTCGTTTATTGCATTTGAAACTATATTTAGAGTGCTTTCTACCGTGAAAATTTCGAAATTTTTCTCAATTCCTATAAATATCTATGATTTTTCAAAGTTGACTGAATTTTCACACTTGCTCTGTTTTTCTACCGGATGAAGCAGCAACCTGAGACTGAAATTTGACTAATTTGTGGATAGAATCTTAAAATGAGAAATTGTAATCCTTTGAGCTTTTTTTCTAACGGTACAAAGTTTATAAATTTTGGACTTCAGAGGCTTGAGCTATGATTTTTCAAATAGCATTGCGCAAAATTGGAGAAAATTCTATTCTTCAAAAGTTGTTAGTGCTTTCATTTCCAACTTCAAGTTGAAGTTGTAGAACCATTTTGAGCTTGATTTTATGATTAGAGTTGAGATAACTTGGTTGGTTTGGAAGTGTTTTCCTTTGAATATGGTAGTTTGGAATAGTGGATCTCATGGCACTTTACATACTTGATTTTAACACTTGAAAGTGAGGCCAGAAGTGCTCCTGAAGCAAACACTTAAGCTTGTTGCCGTGGTGAGTGTTTCAACTGCATGTTTCGTGCTCATTGCTGCTAGAAATTGCTAGGCACTTGATTTGTCATCTCATAAGCAAGTGTGTACTTTATCGCACTTGAACTAGTTCGACTAAACTTTTGATTTCTTATTCATGCATGTACCAGCAAATTTGATTTACAAGTAACCTGTATTTGGATTTGAAATACTTAAAATGCTTGAAAACATAATATGTTGAGCTTACTTGTGACTTGATCCTGTCTAGGCGAGTGTGCTTTTATGTACACTCAATCTCTGTGAACTTGAATTACTTGATCTTGCATGTATATGTGAGTGCGAATGTAGGCCAGTTGTATTTCTCTTATAGCGGTTATACATGCATGACTTGTAAGCTGGTTGTATTTTCTTACAGCGGTTGAACTGGGCCCTTAGACCCTTATCCGTCGTTAGGCCTCTTGCTTGAGACCAGCCTTAGAGCGGTCAAGTAAGTTGGGCAACCTTGGGTAAAGGAAGAATTTCCTAATACTGTTTACTCTGACCGGAACTCTAATCTGCACTGTGAAATCTCTGATACGGAGCGTTAAGTAAGATGGCTCCAATCAATAACTGCATGAGTGTTGACTAACAACCAATGATTCCACTCGTAAATTCTTGAATACTTGGGGTTTTAAACTATATCATGAATACTTGATTCTTGAATACCTGGGGCTATAAGCTCAACCCCATGGCTAGTTGGTCAAATTGAACCGGTAAAGGGTTTGGTCGAGGAGATTGACGAATCATGGGTACTTTTGCTGTTCGGACCTAGTAGGGGGATGATCGGTGGACGGAGATTGACGTTTAGTGGTGATGTACGGATATTATAATTTCCTGGTTGACGGAGAGTCAAAGAATCTCGAATAAGCAGCTGTGGAACCTGCTCCTGAGAGTAGCCTATATTTTTTTGACATAAATGTGTTCTTTATCGTATATTAATGCATGATCTATCTGGTTACCGGATTACTAAACCACATGTCACGGTCTGCTTGAGTATGACTTGTTTTCCAATATCCTATGAATACTATCATGCATGCGAGTTTACTTGCCTGTTTTTTTGGAATCTCACTGGGTTTTTAACTCATTCTATAAATTTGTTTTCCTTACAGGGATGAGAACATGAGAGGTTGAATTGGGAAGGCATAGACTTTATCTAAGTTTTGTTAGTTGTTTGCGTAGCACTCCTTAGAATTTCTAGCTTGCTCATATGGTTTTGATTTTGTAAATTCAACTCCGTGACTATATTTATAGATTGTACGGGCATTTGAGATCCATAACTGTACACATTGGAGGTTGTATTTGTTATCGCCTTTATTATTGATGTTATTGTTCTAAAATTTCGTAGCGCGTGACCGAGTCATAACCAGAGCTGAGCAGGTAGTCCACCAAACCCTTGGGTATGCCCTAGGGGAGCATGATGTTGTCACATAAACAACTAATTGTGGGTAGAAATGATGAAAAAAGGCATATTCTTGGTATGATTGATTTTGTTGTTCACATAAACAAACCATCGTCTGGTCACAGAAACGAACGTGTACTAGTTATTCCAATCACAAGTATGGTAGGGATTGGCAAAACTACGCTTTGCCTAGCTGTTTACAATAGTGAAGAAGTACAATTCTCATTAAAAATTTGGGTTTCCCTGCCTGTAGAATTTGATGCAATTGCCATTACAAAAAAGATTCTTGAATCTGCTACTAATAAAGAGTGCAAATTGTCAACTTTGGATTCTATTTGGAGAAAACTTCAAAAATGTGTTTCAACATAAAAAGTTTCTATTGGTGTTAGATAACTTTTGGAATGAAAAACATGAAGATTGGGAAATTTTAAGTCTACATTTTAGATATGGAGAACCAGGAAGTAGAGGTATTGTCACCACTAGAAGCACTTTAGCTTTATCAATTGTTTGCACTGGCCTTGAATATAATCTTCAACATTTGTTTGATGAGGATTGTTGGGAAGTTATGAAGCAAATGGCTTTTCTAGAATTGAACATCCAGGTACCTGAGAAATTGGAACAAATAGGCAAGGAAATAGCCAAAAAATGTAAAGGGTTGCCATTGGCAGCCAAAACTCTTGGGAGTTTCTTGCATTCTAAATGTGATGAGAAGGACTGGTACTCAATTTTGGAGAGTGCATTCTGGGACTTGGAACAAGATAAAAATGGCATCATTCCGTTTCTTGCCCTCAGCTATTATCATCTCCTTGCACATTTAAAAAAATATTTTGCTTATTGTTCCATCTTCCTTCAAAACCATGAGTTTGAAGTGGATGACTTGATCTTGCTATGGATAGTAGAGGGATTTGTAGAGCCTAATGGTGGAAGAAGACTAGAAGACATTGGTAAAGATTACTTCAAGGATCTGTTGTGGAGGTCCCTCTTTCAATGTTTGTTTGACAATCCTAATTCTCCCGAGATATGCAAAATGCATGATCTTATTCATGGCATGGCACAGTCAGTTTCTTCAAATGTATGCTACCGGATGGAAATTGAAAGTATGAATTGGTATCCCTCCTATGGAAACATTCTTCATTTGTCTCTAAGCCATGACAAAAGTACAGTTCTTTGAGCACCCAGAGTTTCTTGCATATCATAGTTTACGAACCTTTATATTCTTTTGCAAAAGTGGGGTTGGATTGCAAGAACTTAATGATGGCCCATTACTAAAATTTAGGTCATTAAGAGTACTGGACTTGAGAAAGACTGGTCATAAAAAGGTATCAATGTCAGTTGATCACTTGAAGCATTTGCGCTACATGAACCTTTCTGAAATAAAATTTAGCGACTACCAGGGGGAATTTGTAAGCTTTTGGCCTCACAAACACTTAAACTAATAAATTGTGATGAACTTCGTGAGTTGCCCCCAGGCTTGAAGAACTTAATCAACCTTAGGCATCTTGATCTAAATATGTGGGGCAAGCTAGATGTTATGCCATCAAACTTGGGAAGGTTAACCAATCTACAGACTCTCCGTGTATTTAAGGTTGGAAAAGATGAAGGATGTAGCATTCAGGAGTTAGGGAATATGAGGTTTCTCAGAGGATCTCTTTGTATCACGAATCTTAATTTTGTAGCAAATGAAACACAAGCAAAGGAGGCAAACTTGAAAGAGAAGCCATGCCTTGACAAACTTGAGTTAGAATGGAGCAAAGATATTGCTAATAGCAATCATCAAGCTGAAGTTCTTGAAGGCCTTGAACCTGATATGAATCTAAAGGAGCTAGTCATTACGAACTACTCAGGCAACAGGTTTCCTGGTTGGTTAAGTTTACCACAACTCATGCTTACTAGTATTCAGTTGTAGGGTTGTAGTTCTTGCTCCATTCTTCCAGCCCTTGGGCAACTTCCATTAGTGAAATTACTTGACATTGAAGGTATGTCTTCTTTGGTTCAAGTTGGCCAAACATTTTGTGCATCGAATGCTACCATAAGATTTCCTTATTTGGCATCCTTAAAATTTCATAATATGCCTTCATGGACTGGTTTAGAAAACAATGACATGCCTCGCCTCTGTTTGCTCGCTTTTGAAGATTGCCCTGAACTAACTGAGTTACCACCATCACTTGACAACCATGATTCCTTGCAATTAACAATTACATGATGCCCTGGGCTTCAGGGATGGGTAGACAAGCTCACCGATGCTTTCAGATCTTGAACAGTGTTCTCATAGCACTTTATCCAGGGGCTGATGAAGGTAATGTTTTCTTGAGTTTGGCTACGCTATATTGTTTTCCCTTTATCAGGAAAAAATAGAATAAAATCAAAACAACCAGCTGTTATGGATTTGACAATACAGAGAATCTTATGTTTAAGTGAGGGATGCAAAGTGTTAGAAATTTTTCAAAATTTGTATGATGTACATACATGTAATTAATGTATATTCATTCATGTTTTTGATATGATACATTTAGAACATTCACTATACTATACATGTATCAAAAACATGAATGAATATACATTAATTACATGTATGTACATCATACAAATTTTGAAAAATTTTTAATAATCCCCTGCCATTTTCAAAATTTAGAAAATGAATTTGTAAAAGGTCACTGAATAATCTGACACTTATATGCATAAATAATGGTGTCTTTCGATTGAACTACTATTTTAGTGAAGGTTCTTTGAAATCAATCCTATAAGATGGTAGACAAGCTTTGAACCACTTGGACATTAGACCAACCTCATAAAAACATCACACACTGAGCAATGCACAACCATAAATTCTTCAACGATGCATTTTATGGCCTTGTATCACTATCCTTTCATGAATGTTACAAAGTAAAGTCCTTAACTTTGTGGTTTGCCGAAAACCAACATTCATATAGGCGACATCTTAGTGCCCCCGCCATAGATAGCACTTTTAAGATTCGTTAAGAGTCCAATAACTCACTCTTACATTTGCACTGGCGAGAATAACAAGCACTATTCTACATTGGGATGTCTAAACTTCACATAGTGCACCAACCACTAGAATGGTGTACTTTCACTCATTGAATTCAAGACTAAACGTTGTATCTAGCGTTGCATTGAGGTTCCACCATTAGTGATTAAGAATTTTGGATTTTAAATCCATCCCCCTTGATATCCTTAACACAAATTCCTTGATATTCCTTTTGTCAAAGGATCACTCAAATTTTCATTGGATCTCACAAAATCAATTGATATGACTCCATTTATGATCAAATCTTTGACATAACTATGTCTTAAACCGATATGTCTTGACTTACCATTGTACACTTGACTATATGTTTTAGCAAGTGTAGCTGCACTAGCACAATGGATTGAGATAGGTGACAAAGGCATTGGCCACAACAGTATATTATAAAGTAAATTATGTAGCCATTCAATTTCTTTACACGCCGAAGCAAGTGCTACAAATTCTGCTGCCATTGTTGAATCAATGATACAAGTTTGTTTCTTAGAACCCCAAGAAATTGCACCTTCACCAAGCATAAAGATCCAACCACTTGTCGACGAATGATCATCTTTATTAGTAATCCAACTAGCATTTGAAAATCCTTTTAAAACTGAAGGATAACCGATATAACATATACCATAGTCCTTAGTGACCTTTAAATACTGTAAAATTTTGGTTACACCCTGCCAATGTAACCTACTAGGGTTGCTTGTATATCTGCTCAACATACCAACTGCATATGCAATATCAGGTCTAGTACAAGTTATTGCATACATTAAACACTCTATAATCTTGGCATATTCCAATTGAGATTTTGGATCCCCTTCATTTTTCACAAAGTTTATTTTGGGATCCAATGGTGTTGAGGCTGGAATACAATCACTTTGATTGAACTTATTAAGAATCTTTTCAATATAATGCGATTGAGACAACATTATATTGTTATCGTTTTTTAAGATTCTTATACCAAAAATGACATCTGTCTCACCATGTCTTTCATGTCAAATTTGATTGAAAGTAAAGTTTGTGTGACTTTAAGTTGCTCCAAGTCAGTCCTAAAAATTAACACGTCATCAACATATAAACAAATTATGACACTTTTGCCATCGTTAAACTTGCTATAAATGCATTTATCAGATTCATTTATTTTGAATCCATTAGCAAGAATAACTTGATCAAATTTCTGATGCCATTGATTCGGTGTTTGCTTTAGTCCATATAAAAACTTTATAAGTTTACACACCTTATGCTCTTGACCAGGTATCACAAACCCTTCAAATTGTTCCATATATATTTCTTCATCCAAATCACCATTCAAGAATGCTGTTTTAACATCCATTTGGTGAATGACTAGATTTTGGATAGAAGCTATAGCAAGTAGTACTCTAATTGTAGCAATTCTAACTACAGGAGAATATGTGTCAAAATAATCCACACCATACTTTTGTGTAAACCCTTTGGCAACCAATCTGGTCTTGAACTTATCAATAGTTCCATCGATCTTCATTTTCTTCTTGAAGATCCACTTACAACCAATTGATTTTGAACCAGGTGGTAAGTCTACTAATTTTCAGGTTTTATTACCCATGATTGAATCCATCTCATTATTAATAGCTTCCTTCCAAAAAGGAGCATCTTGTGAGTTCATTGTTTCTTCATAGGTCTTGAGATCAGCCTCAGTATTGAAGTAATATGAAATTTGGTTGCACACTGTATCTCTAGTTCCTTCAACTAGATACATTTTAAAGTCCGAACCGAAATCTTTTGACTTTCTAACTTTTTTGCTCCTTCTCAATTCAATGGTTTCATTTTCACCATCTTTTTGTCAATTCACTTGATTTTGGAATAATATCTTTTATAGAGGTGAACCTATTCTATTCAAAAATAGCATCCTTAAATTCAATTATAGTATTAACCGAAATTGAATCATTAGGTTTAATTACCATGAACCTATATGTTTTACTATTTTGTGTATATCCTAAGAATATACACTCCACACTTCTTTCTCCCAATTTTCTTTTTTAGGTTCTAGGAGTTTTACAATAGCCCTACAACTCCAAACTTTCAAATAGTTTAGGTTGGGCTTGCTTTTATTCCAAAATGCATAAGATGTTATAGAACTCTTTTTATTAGGAACTCTATTTAGGATATGACAAGCCGTTAACAAGGTTTCATCCCAAAATCCTTGACTTAGTCCAAATTTTGACAAAAGTGCATTAACCATTTATGTCAACACACGATTTTTCCTTTTGACTACACCATTTTGATATGGTGTATAAAAAACAGTCACCTCATATTTTATCCCAATAGACTCAAAATAGGTAATATTATAATACTCTCCATCTCTATCTGTTCTTAGACATTTGATAAAGGTTTTACAATGAAGTTTAACTTCTGATTTGCATGTCTTGAATTTTTGCATTGCTTCACCTTTTGAGTGTAACAAGAAAATATGACAATATCTAGTATAATCATCAATAAAAGTCACAAAGTATTTTTTTTACCATCCAAAGTAGGAGTACCATGCAGATCACATACATCATTATGAATAAAATTCAAGATTTTATATGATCTTTCAATTTTAGGAAATGAATTTCTTGTGATTTTCGTTAGCATGCATGTTTTGCATTTTCCTTCAATCTTATCACAATATGGCAGTAAATCAAGTCTCATCATTTCATACATTCTTTTGTAATTAACATGGCCAATCCCATTATGCCACAATTCAAAAGAAGACTAAACCAAATACGTAAAAACAATATCAATTTTATTATTTCTAATAGTAAATACATTCAATTTAAACATCTCATTGCAATGATAACCCTTGACTACAAACATACCACCTTTAGATAAAATAAATTTGTCAGCCTCAAACACAAGTTTAAAGCCAAATTTATTTAACAGACTAGCCGACACTAAGTTCTTCCTAACTTCCGATACATAAAACACATTCAAGATTACAATATTGCCGGAAGTAAATTTTAATTCTACTTCTCCAATGCCTTGAACCAGAATTGTAACAGAATTTTTCATGTAAACAACGGTGCTTTCATCCACCAGTTTCATGGACTTGAAGAACATTTTATTGTTGCACACGTGTCGTATAGCTCCAAAATCAACTTACCAAGCAAAATCATCTTCAATCATATTGATCTTAGATATCATTGCCACAAGATTTTTGCTTGTGTTTTGGGAAGACTCTTGTTTTTTTTTTCTTATTTTGAAGAATCTTGCATTTGGACTTGTAATGTCCCTCTTTCTTGCAATAGAAGCATTGTCGCTTCTTCCTTTTCTTGGACTGGTTCTTGAGTTGTTGGCCATTCTTATTTCCTTGAGACTTTTCAGTTTGTCTCTTTTCAATCACATGCACTTTTGAAGTAGAATCTTTGTTCTCTTCAAGAATTTGAGTATCCTTCTTTTCTTGCATGCGAATTTTCTCTTCTACTCGAAGAGATTTAGAAGAATCTCAAGAGAGATATCCTCTTTTCTATGTTTGAGGTCTCTCATGAAATCTTTCCAAGAAGGTGGTAACTTATCTGTTATAGAGCAAACAATAATGGCTTCATCCATATGCAGATTGTGTTATGTGAAGTGATTATGAAACTTTTCAATTTCACTAACCTGCTCCATAACAGACTTACTATCTACCATTTTATAGTTATTAAAAGATGAGACAAGAAACTTCTTACTTGTAGCATCTTCTTGCATGTACTTAGACTCCAAACGATCCCAAAGTTCCTTGGCGGTAATAATTGAATGCTAGATATCAAACAGGCTGTCACTCAGGGTATTGTGGATGTGACCATTGCATATTTCATTGCCGTTCTCCTATTTCTGACTTTTTCGGATGTTTTCAAGAGTTTCTTCCTCGGAATTGATGATCAATGGTTTTGGTGTGGTCAAAACATAGACCACTTGGAATGCAGTGAGAAGGAAACGAACATGTTTTTGCCAACGAATGAAATTTCGTCCATCAAACCTCTCAAGCTTGACATTGTTGGATGCCAACTCTTTCAGGGTACCAGCCATTGTAGAGTACAAAATAAAGCCTAAAGATTGTTGAAAATATTGCAACGAATTGGCAAATATTGTGACAAGAATTGGCTTTAAATCGTGATAGAATATTAATTTTCTTTAGGCTTTATTTGTCCGATATAACGTGCAATAACCTTGGACAGATATCCTTTAGGATAAAATGAAGTTTGTTTGTCTTAAACTCTTGTACAAAGTAAAACAAACCCTTTTGAACTAAGGAGTGCTTTTGAGAGAATACA